CCCTCGCGCACGTCGCACGCCAGCACGACGCGAAGCAGCTTGAGCACATCGCCACGAATGGGGGCGGAGCCAGAGACAATGTACTCGACACGACCGCCGAGCAGCGCCTGGACCTTGCTGAAGATGAGGCGGTCGTAGAGCGCGTGTGTGAGAGTGCCGTCGCGGTCGTGGTTTGCGATCTTGGCGGCGAGCGCCTTGCGGAGGAGCGCGCCCTTGAGGCCGGGGGCGGCGGCCTGTGCCTGGACGAGTGCGGCGATGCGGTTGAGCACGCGTGGCACCGAGGGGAACATCTGCGGCTTGAGGATGGCCATGTCCTCGAGGAGGCGGGTGGTGTCGCCGCAGAAGTAGCCGATCCTGCCGCCGGTGCGGACGGCGACGATCTCACAGAGACGCGCGTAGATGTGTGCGGTGGGGAGGTAGGAGATGAGCGTGTAGGCGCCGCGCTTGTGGAAGGCCATGGCGGTGGAGACGTAACCGCCCATGCCAGCGGTGATGATGGCGGCCTTGGGGTTGCCAGTGGTGCCCGAGGTGTAGCAGAAGGAGTGGATGGAGTCGACGTTGGGCGGGATGTGGGCGGCGATGTTGTTGCGGCCGAGGTCGAGGATCTCGAACCAGTTGAAGATTTCGATGCCGCAGGTCTTTGCCCACTCCTTTGCGAGCGTGTCGCGGAGCGGGTCTACGAGTGCGGCCTTGACGGCCTGCTTGGAGGGGCGGAAGGAGTCGAGGATGACGATGGCCTTGAGCAGGGGCAGCTTGCCGGCCTGTGCTGCGGCGAGGACGACGCCGACGTGGTTGGGGGTGGTGAAGAGGATGCGCGTCTCTGCATGGTCGATGATGTACTGGGCGGAAGCGGCGTCGTAGGTCTCGTAGAGGCTGACGGTCCTGCGCGAGTAGGCGATGTTGGAGTAGTCGATGATCATGAATTCGGGCCTGTTGAGAGTCCAGATGCCGACGGTAAACTCGGTCTGGCCGACGCCGTCACCGAGACGGCCCTGGCGAGCGAGGGCGCCGATACCAGAGCCGATGGCGGTGCGCTCCTCCTCGACCTCCTCGTGGGTGTACCATTCGAAGTGCTTTTCAAAGTCCTTGGTGACGGGGTTCCAGGGTCTCCAGCCGGCGACGTCGGACTTGAGGTTCTCGTCCTTTGCACGCAGCAGTGTTTCGTAGACGGTGCAGCTGGTGGAGTATTCTGCGAGCGCGGCGCTCTTGTAGATGGACGAGAAACCGGGCTGCTTTGAGCCGGGGACGGGGAGCATCTGCTTGTCCAGGGGGAAGTGGACCTCGGGGGGCAGGTCGGTGGTCATTGTGGGCGAGGCGGCAGAGGTGCAGAGAGGAAGAGAGAGAGAGAGAGAGGGGCTGTGCTTCCGAGGGTGCGGTTCGGTTGGGTTGGGTTGGAGAGGAAGGGGAAGGGAGATGGTGGAGCAGGGAAAGAGATGACGAGGAGAGGGGGCCGGTATAAGCAGGCGAGGGAGAGCAGCGCGCTTTGGCCAAGCTATGAGAGGCTTTCGAGCGCGGCGGCTCAGCTGGACCGGGAAGATCGGCTGCTCCGAATAAGCGGAGACCCCAGCAGAATTGCCGGAGGAACGCTCAAATCCCACCCACCTCTTGTGCGCGCGGCGGCCTCTTAACCCTTGGCTTGCATATTCTTGGCCTGAATTGACAGCGGAGCCGCTGCTTCTGCCTTGCAAGGCCGGCTCATCCGAAGGCATCCGACGGCGGGAAGCAGGCAGGGCAGGGGGTGGCCACTGTCACAATCACAATCACAATCACAATCTCAATCACAATCTCAATCA